GGCCCCAGACTCCTGCTCACTGTCCTATTACCCTGCAGCTGCCCCTCCTGCCCCCTCTCCCCAGGGCAGCAAGAGTGATCGCCTGAAAACACAGATGTGACAGTATCACCCCTGGGCTCTCATGCTTACAGCCCTTCCCTGGGTCCTTTTTCTCGTGGAAATAAAGTCAATCTAGGAAAGTGGCCCATGAGACTTTTCTATCTTTCCCCTTATGGCTGTATTAGTCAGTTTTCTCAAGAAAAACAGAACCCCTCCCATTATGGGGTACATATATGCATACATGTATGTATGTATATATGCACATGAAAATTTATCACGAGGAATTGACTCAGGTAATCTCAGAGGCCAAGATGCCCCACAATCTGCCATCTGCAAGCTGAAGGACCAGGAACGCCAGTGGTGTCGATGTTGCTCGAGGGCAGCAGAAGGCTGATGTTCCGGCTCCACCAAGAAGACAGGAGGGAAGGAATCCTCCCTTGCTCCAGTTTTGATGCTATTCAGGCCCTCAGAGGTGTAGGTGATGCCCATCTTCCTAACTGACCCACTGATACATATGCTAATACGATCTGGAAACCCACTGGCAGACACAAAGAGAAATAATGTTTTCTCTGACACCTCACGGGCCCATCAAGTGGAAACATAAAATTAACTGTCACACTGTCCTAGGAGGCCAATGCTCAGCACACGCAGACTCACAGACACACAGACAGACTCAATCTCTCTCACCATCTCCCTCACACACTCAGAGTCTCTCTCTCCCTCTCACACCCACACACTCCCACACGAACACACTCACACAGAAACACACACACCTGGATGCTCAGCATTCTGAGTACTGAGGTGTTTCCTGCCTTTCGCCCTAGGAAGATGGGGCTCCCACGAATAGGCAAATGGCTCTACTTGTCAGGTCAAAGGGAGCTGAGACAATGTGTTAGTTAGAGAGAAATATTAGGGATGCCATTTTCTTGGCTTCTTTGCACGTCACTGCACACTCTCCTGGACCCCCGCGTCACCAATGCATATGTCACTCAATGGTTCTCTGCTCCCTGAAGCCCAGCCAGTGGCTGTTCCCAGCACCCTCCTTGCTCCCCAGCAGGTGAGCAGCTATTATGCCTCACCAACGAGGTGGGTCCATGATCAGCTACAACGTGTGAGAGCTACAGTAGCACCTGGCCGTCCACTGGCACTCAGAGCCTTGTGGCTCCTGCTTCAATTTCCTTCTTCTCAACTTTAACCTGGAAGCAGATGGGGAAGGAGACTCTGGGAAATGTGGTTCCAGCCTGGCGGAGTTGCTAGAGTCAAAGTCTCCGCAGGTATCTTTTCTGAAGTCTTTAAATTACCATTTACAAGTAATCCTTTAAATATAGCATATTGATAAATTAGTCTGGCAAGTAAACCCCCAACTTTCCTTTTTCCCTATTTAGCAATGATTTGTGTGGGCTACTGTTTGAGTTATCCACTGCTGCACATCAAACCATCCCCAAGCTCAGTGGCCAAAGCAATCATTTCAACATATGTCATGGTGCTGCAGTTTGGCTGGGGCTGAGCTGGGCAGTTTCGTTACTAGATTTTCTTTGGGCTCTTTCAAGCAGTTGCATTGAAGATGTGGCCTGGACTGGGTCTGGATGTCTGACAGCTCAGTTCTATTCCATGTAGCGTGTCTGGTCATAAGAGTGCCCTGATATGCTCACACAGAAGCTTTGGTTTCCATGGAAGACTCAGAACCTCTTGTCCTCTACCTTCTGTTGGTCAAATCAGTCATGAACCCAACCCATATTCAAGAATAGGAGATAATAACAATAATGAATTCCATCTTGTAATGAGAGGAACACTTTCTTTGCACAGGGTGGACTGGCATTGTTCGGGGCTGTATTTGGAGACAAGTTCCTACAGCTGCTCAGGGGTCTGAGTGTCAGATGTCTCCTCTATCTGTTGAGGGGGACTGCCTCTCTTGGTCAGGGATGTGTGGACAGCATGAAGTGGGAACATGTGTGTAGAGGGGCTGCACAGAGCTTTTCCCTTTTCTGCCCCTGGGGCATGACAACAGCCTGGTATTGTCCACAGGACATTGCTGAGGGGAGACAGAAAGACAAGGCACAAAAAGAGAGGTCATCCCCTCTTCTGAGTGCCTCCTTCCAGAGGGACCTACCCTCTCCCATGCTCATCTCACGTGTTGACTCCAACCTAGGGCCACTGTTCTGTGATCATCCCCTCCCCAGGCTGCAGACAACGCCAAAATCAAGGCTCAACTCTATATCAGCACCACGGACAGCACCATCACTCAAGCTTAGAGATCCCCAAGAGCCAGGGTCTGTTCTGGGCAAAATGACACCCGCTATGGGCGGTGCCGTGACCCCGCTGGGGCAGAGGTGGGGCTGGTCACACACAGAGGACAGAGCTTGGTAGCTGACTGAGGGTCTCCAGGGCAGCGGGAGGGTGAGAGGGATGGGAACACAACACCTGAGAGTCCAAGGGTTGCTGGGTTCCAGGGCATTCATGTCCACGATGACTGCCCGAGAGTCCCTACCATGTCTCCTGTGCCCGTTCCTTCCTGAGAACTCACCCTCCACTCCAGAAGAGCAAGATCCCCCCATCCTCAGTCTGTGCCTCCCATGGCAGCCACCTACCCTCTGACCTTGTAAATGTCAGGTGACTTGTCTGTCTCCAAACCAGATGTTGCTCTGTTCAAAGGCAAGGACTGGGTCTGTGCTTTCCCAGAAACGTCAAGGCACAGCATTAATGCTTCGTACCTGGTGCTGAGTGAGTGAATGAATGAATGAATGAATGAAATTTCTTCCCTCATTTCATGGGAGAAACTTGCCAATTCTTCCCTCTCAAATTAACACAAGCTTCCCCTCTCCCAGCCAGTCAATCCTGAACAGACCAAGTTTGACCAAGTGTCTGCTGAGCAGATGATGTTACATGAGACACGGCACCCGGGTGATTTGGGCAATTCAGTGAGTATCTTAGTCCACTCAGGCTGCTATAAAAATATCACAGACTGCATTCATCCTATAAAGAATAGAAATTTATTTCTCACAGTTCTCCAGGCTGGGAAGTGGGAGGTCAAGATGCCAGCAGATTTGGTGTCTCATGAGGGCCTCCTTGTCTTTGTGTTCTCAAATGGTGAAAGGTACAAACAAGCTCCCTCGGCCTGCTCTGTAAGGATGCAAATCCCATTCATGAGGGCTCCAGTGTCATGATCCAATCACCTCCCGAAGACCCCACCTTCTGAAACCATTAGCTTTGGAGTCAGGATTTCAACATATGGATCTGGGGAGGGGCTGGTCACAGACATTCGGGTCATAGCACTTGTCCGGCGGGACCTCAGCGCCTTCTCTCCAAATTGGGGAAGTCAGGCCAGAGGGCCTCCCAGCCCTCGTGGGTCATAAGTTCCTCTTTGTCACACAGTTAGATTCCCTGTGGCTTCCCCATGTCTCAGCTCCCCATTCTGATTTTCTCATTTCAATTGCAAAGCGGGGACCCTGGGAAACTGAGAAGCCACAGCACACCCCTTCTGACCACTGCAATGCTGCGACTTCCCTGCTGGGAGAGAGTGACTGGGCAGGGAAGGGGGCCGGGGGGGGGGGCGGGAAGGAGGCTGCGGGGGGCGACACCAGCTGGAAACGCAGGAAAGGGTGATGGGGGCGGCTGTCCCTCCTCAGTCATCACAGCCAAGGGATACCGCAGGGTATGGGCAGTCAGAGCACAGCAGGGGACAGGAAAATCCACGAGGTTTAATGGAAGAAAAGCTTGTAATTCTCTGTGTTCAAAGGCTTCAGGAAAATATTCTCAGAGCCACAGGATTCTGGGCAGCATGATCGATGTGAAATTATAAAAAAAAGTGAGGAGATAATTAGCATTACTGCGGGGAAGGGACTCCTCTTGTATTTCCCCAAAAAAGAGTTTCAAGAAAAACTGACTCAGTTGAGATTTCCTCGTAGGATTTCCTCCACTTTCTCCCAGCCTCCAGCCGCACAGTTTAAAATCATTTTCTCTTGAATTCAACTGCAAGTTTCTTCTCCCCCTTAACCCTGACCATGCCTGAGGGTGGTTCCTCCCTCCAGGTCTCCGGTTCCCGGGACACTCCTGGGAGCAGAACTGCAGCAAAGCCCTGAGGCCCGGGGACCCGGGGACCCGTCATGCTCTGGAAGAGCCAGAAGTGTGGCTGAGTGAGGTGGCAGTGGTGGGAAAATCTGACCTGATGCCTAGAATGTGTTGATGTAAATAGAAGTTTCTACCCCTTTAAAAATGTTCCCTTCCCTTCTCACTTTCTGTAAAATCGCACTGAACAACAACCACGGCCTCACGTTCCAGGCCTCCCATGAGCCCGGCTCCCTCCTGTGCCCTTGTGGAATCCTCACCCCCAGCCCAGTGTCCCTGTGCTCAGACCTCCTCATGCTACACCTCCAGCCTAGGGGCAGTCACCCCCACATTGCCTGTGTGTCCCCCGTGAAGCTCCTGTCACAGGGAGCTCAGAGGTCAGGAGACTGATCGTCTCTCCCTGGATGGTGACTCCGTGAGGACAGGATCCAGGTCTGCTGCGCTGACCTCCATGTGCAGAGAGGGGATGCCCACACGTGGCTGCTGCTCCCCCCCCGACCCTCCCCCTTCTACATGTCCCCGAGCCCCACCCCTGACCTCCACAAACACTCACACCCTGAGACTCAGGGGACTGGCCAGATGGGACCCATCGGCACCTTCCAGAAAATGTCCCCCGAGGGGAAGGGCATTGACAGGGAGGCAGGAGATGTGGTCGGGCCCCACATGGGGTGGGAACTTGGGTGACTCTCTCCCTCTCTGGCTGCAAGATCTCAGGAGTGGACGTGGGTGGTGACAGTCAATCTGCAAGGGCTGCCTGGCCCTGACAATGTCAGGGTGTGAAGTTCCTCCTCTGAGGAGGGTCACGGCTCTGACCTCGCCCCCGTCTTCCTGTGGGGCCTCCTCCAAGTCCTGCAGCTCTCAGTTCCCGAGAGAAGAACGTCGAGGAACAGCCTTTCCCCGGCGGGCCCTGGGACCTGCGCCCGGACATGCTGCTGCTGCTGCTGGCCCTGCTCTGGGGGAGGGCGGGGGTGCAGGGACAGGGAGGGTACTGGGAAGGTTACACGCTGCGAGTGCAGAGTGTGGTGACGGTGCAGGAGGGGCTGTGCGTCCACGTGCCCTGCTCCTTCTCCTACCCCCGGGACGGCTGGAACGACTCTGACCCTGTTCATGGCTACTGGTTCCGGGAAGGGGCCAAATCACACCAGGAGGCTCCAGTGGCCACAAACGACCCAGCTAGGAAAGTGCAGGAGGAGACCCAGGGCCGATTCCACCTCCTCGGGGATCCCGGGAGGAACAACTGCTCCCTGAGCATCAGAGATGCCACAAGGAGGGACCAGCAGTTATACTTTTTTCGGGTGGAGCGAGGAGCAGTGAAATGGAACTATGTACACAACAAGCTCTTTGTACACGTGACAGGTAAGGCTCGGGCTCCGGGTGCCCACAGGGGGAGGAGGTGGGGGCCGCAGGGCAGGGCTGGGCTGGGACCCCGTCCTGGGAGGGGCTGGGGGTGAAGCCTGTCGGGCTCAGGGGAGGAGCTGGACCAGAGCCTGAGCTCCTCTCAGGGCCGCACCTCGGACCCTCCCCCCTGATCCTGTGTGTCCCTGTCTCCTTCCAGCCCTGAACCACACGCCCCACATCCTCCTCCCGGGGACCCTGGAGTGCGGCCGCCCCTGGAACCTGACCTGCTCTGTGCCCTGGGCCTGTGAGCAGGGGACGCCCCCCAGCATCTCCTGGGAGGGGGCCTCTGTGTCCCCCCAGAGCCCCACCATCGGCCGCTCCTCGGTGCTCACCCTCATCCCTCAGCCCCAGGACCACGGCGCCAGCCTCACCTGCCAGGTGACCCTGCCTGGGGCCCGTGTGACCAGAAGGAGGACTGTCCACCTCAACGTGTCCTGTGAGAGCTGGGCTGGGAAGCCTGGGGTCCTGCTGGGGGTCCCCAGGGCAGTGGGATGGGGTCAG